TTGTTGTTTGGCGGGTCCGGGCTGGGGATTCGAACCCGCCACCTTAGGTGTACGTGGCTGGCGCCTTAGCCGGTTGAGCTATAGGTGCTGAGCCATCTGTCATTTCTTTAGGAAGGCTTTTCCTGATCACACCATTTCTCTCCCTCTCTCTGTTTATTTATAACTTTTATAAGAAACCACAAATTGTTATTATATTTACAGATTTGTGCCACCATCATCATTTGTTTCTAGTCCACTGTCAGTGTCTAATAACATTTCCATCACCCTAAAAAAATGCTCATATCCATTATCACTCACCTCACCCACTGGCCACTAACACCTGGAAACCGGGAATCTCCTTTCTGTCTTGAGTGGCTTTGCCTGTTCTGGACACTGGATATAAATGGAATAATACAACATGTGGCTTTTTGTGTCAAGACTTTTTCACTAGGAACCATGTTTTCAAGATTCCTCCATGTTACAGTGGGTGTCAGTGCTTCGTCTCTTTTTATGGCTGAGTAATATTCCATCTCCTACTACATGTGTCCTGTGCGTCCATTCATCAGTTGACGGCTGTGGGGGCTCTTTCCACTTTTTGGCTGTTGTGAGAGATGCTGTTGTGTGCCAGTTTCTCTCCATTGCATTGCTGTTTAATTATTTAATTTTCTTAATGAATTTTTAAAAATCTTTTCCCATAGACTATAAGCCCCAGGAAGGCAGTGACTTTGTTCGTCTTACACACTGCTGTGTCCCTGGGGCCTGTGGAGTGCATGACACACAGTAGACAGTAAATATTTGTTGAATGAATGAAAGAAAATGAGAGCCGTTGTTATTCTTTTTCTTTTAGTGAACTCAGTCTTTTCGTTGAAGCAGTGTGGGACCCCTGCTGTGCTGACCCCGGTCTCTCTCACATCGGAGGCTGCGTCTCCCCTCTGCGCCTCCCCTCTGCGCTTCCTGCTCTGTCCTCCCGTTGTCTCGTGACAAGTCATTCTCTGACCTCAGGCCCTGTATTGCCGTAGCACAGCCTCAAATGTGCAGCACTCACATGGCGGCCCGTGGAAACCTAGATCGCTGGGTCCCATCCTTAGAGTTTCTGACTTAGTAGGTCTGGTTGGATCTAAAAATTGGCACTTTCACAAGTTCCCACGTGACAGTGACACTGAGGAGTGGCAGGCCATTGTCTGAGAATCACTGCAGTCATGGGTCAATTTCAGCAGGTCGGCTGGGCCTGCTAAGTTCATAGGTGGTCTGGGTGGACCTCACCCAGGGAGTTCACTTTCCTTCTCTGTCTCCTTTTATGTGGACTCAGAAGGTTCTGGTTGTCTAAGAATATTTGGGTTTATCCTAAAACAGGGCAATACCTCTTGTGAGTATGTATTCTGGAGAAACTCTCCCTGGTCCAAGAGGAGGCCTTATGAAGCTATATACTGCTCTGTTGTCGACAGGGGCCAGGGAATTGGTGGCCAGCTAGATGGCCATGACTGTGGAAATGATGAACAGGGCCGATCCTTGGCTGGTTTGCAGTAAAAGCGCTGGAGGTTTGTGGCTGGCACCCATTCTGATCATCAGTTCCTCTACCCGACTAGCTGCTGCAGGTGGAGAGAAATGAAGGTTGCTGGTGAGGATCTGCCGTGCAAGGGGTGAAGGAGGTCACGATCAGCAGTATGGCTGGCTTCCACATGGCGCGCAGGAGGAAGAGGAGAGCCAAGTTTATGGTCAAACTCCACATATGCAGCAATGCCTACGATATTATGTATCTGTCAAGGGTAGTTGTGTATTTTAATAAACACATCATGGAGGAAAAAGAAGAAAAAAGTATACTGGTAGGTCTCATTTTAGGTGTGATATCTGTTTGACATATTTCTGCTCTGTTTTAAGTGCAAACACTGAGCATTAGTCCTGAATTTAATTGTGAAGGTCACTTATGGGTCAAGCTGTGTCTCCATCACTCCCATTTCCCCATCCCTCAAAAAGATTAGTTCAGATCCCTGTGCCACAACTTCCTGGTTGGGCAGGTTAATTCCCCTCTGTAAGCCTTTGTTTACTCATCTGCAGAGGAGTAACAGTCCTTACAAGGTGTTTTGTGCTGCTTTGTTGAGTTAAGGCATGTAATGTGATCAGCATGGTGCCTGGCTTATGACAAGCACTCAGTAAATGTTACCTATTGTTACTGACATTGGGCCTGTGCTGTAAGGGAAGTGTTGGAATCTAGTGTTCGATATAAAGAGAGAACCAAAGCTGTGGAGTGCAGACACATTGCACGTGTGCATCGCCGAACCCTCTCATCAGTCCCTGGGGTGGATACCAGCCACACGACCTGGCCGTTGTGAGATGATGTACACTCGTGTGAGGTCCCTAACGGAACCTCTAATTACAGGGATTTCATTCACTGGTGTTTTCTCTACCCTACCCTAACTAGAGTGGAGTTCGGAAGCAGCCTTGGCTTTTGTTCACAAGTGCAGTGCTTGGTGCAGGGCGGGTACCAATTATTGCTCTGAATGAACAGATATAAATGCTTTCTTCTTCCAGGGCCCTTGCAGATGTCATGAGGCCACAGGGCCACTGCAACCCTGACCACATGGAGCGAGACCTTAACATTGTTGTCCACGTGCAGCACTATGAGAACATGGACACGAGAACTCCCATAAATAATCTTCGTAAGTATAGCTGCACGAACCCTTTCCAGCCCCGCGTGGTGTCCCGCCTTGGGTGAGTTAAGAGCTTCTCTTTCTTGATAAGTTAGAACGTTTATTTCTCATCTCTCTTGGATAACAGAGTCTGTTTCACTTGGTTTCTTTGTGAAATAGTGATCTACGTGGTTTCTCGTGGTCAGTTCTTCTTTCACCTAGCAGACTGCTTGGTGGGTTCATCTTGACTGATCTGTTCAGTAATGGCCCTATTGGTTAGTTCATCATGACTGGACACTTGGTAAACTAATGGATTATTGGCTGGTTCGTTTTAGGGTAACATGTTAGCCAATAGCCCATTCGTCTCCCTCCTGAGATAAACCAGCAGTGACTTCTAGGTTTCATGCTATGTTCAATTAGAAAATACTAGTTTAGAAGAATCATATGTTATTATTATTATTTTTAATAAAACTAAAGTTCCATAAAAATAACTTGTATAATACTCCATACGTGTGTGTGCAGGTGGACCCTGAGTTACGGTCCTGGTGCTTTGGGCTTTGTCTGCGTGATTCAACAGCAGCAAATTTGTTCCCATTGTTCTGTCAGGGAAAAAAAAAACTGTGTTTGCTTTTTGTTTCTATTTTTTTTTTAAGCAGATAGCGCATGCTTGGAGATCTTGGTATATTCCCAAAGATTTTCTCTCCCTTCAAAGGTCTGTATATACAACATGCATTATGGAGCTGATGCTCTCTGACTAATGAGAGCACAGGAAAAAATAAGATTGTTTAGTTTTTGACAATAATGTACTACTGTGATTATTCCCAGTAATTATGTTTTCAAGTAACCCCCACATTAAAGTAATGTGGAGGGCTTGGTTTAAAATAACAAAAGCCAGACAATTTAAAGGCTGCGTTTAGTTGTGGCTAGAGGTCCCTGAAAACAGAAACAGTTCTGGGGTTGCACATTCTTACAGCCTGGGTCGCCTCTGCTGCAGCTCCCTGGGAGTTGCTTGGGTGTTTTATTTGCTGAATCATAGTTTCGGATTGTTTGGTTGTGAATTTTTTACACTCAATGGATGGAGGAAGAAGTCTGTTTAATGTGGGTCATACGAGTTCTCTGATTCCTCACCGTGATGAATTTTCATGGTTTTGAAAGTTGTTGTAGTGCATTAGCAAAGTCAACGTCAGTGTTTACATGGTTTGAAAAATGAGCCAGCAAATAGAATGTCTTAGGTTTAAATATGTTAGATAATTTGACATTATTCATTTATGAGCTGGTTCATGAAATGCTCTGAGTAATAAGCCACATTTTAGAGCAGCAGACACTGGCCAGTGGAAGAAACAGCCGAGGTAGAGGTGGGAGACGGCACCGACTCCGATGTGGGGATCGCTCTTTCCGGTCCTGGCTTTGATGGGAAGGAGCACACTCCCTGTCGGTGGCACCGGGAAATAAGCTGGACGTTGTCGTGTGCTTTGGTCCCTTCTGTGTGTGAACACGAGCACGGAGCAGAGAGACTACAGTGAGGCCCTGGCTCCACAGGGTGATTGTTCACAGGTTTTTCATTTGAAGTTTCAATCTCTAAGATTTTGAATCAGCACTGAAATGAAATAGCAAACTCACTGAAGTCACCCAAGTTCCGTCATTCCATCGGGCTAAAGGGCAGGGAACATTAATGGATGTTGCTTGAATAAAGGATTTTCATTTAAGGTTGTATTGAAAATAAATTACTGCTTGGAGATAGGGTAGAAAAATGGTATATTCAGAAAAACAGATGATTTGGGGGAGTTCACTGAGGGCACAGGACTAGGTGAGTGGTGCTGATCAGTTATTAAAGGTTTAAGAAACCAAGTAATCATCAGAGACTAATTTTGACCAATAGAGAAACAGGAGAGAAGGAATCCAGTTTTGTAAATGGAGAACGAGGCCAGTCAATCCCCCAGTTAGAAGGCACCTGCTAAATAGAAGCCCCTTTCTGGACAATATGGGAGTTGCAATGACTTATCCCTACAGGAAACAGAAACTGAGAAGTGTCTGTTTGTGACACGGCAACAGGGGGCATCGTGCCATTTTTAGTATGTTCTTCACTAAACACCTGGGTTTCACTAGGGCTTCAGTAATTTTAACCTAAATGTCGTTTTTATATCTCTTCATCAACCACTGACATTGCTTGAAGGAATAATGATCTTCATCTGTTTCTCTTTCCCTATCATCTTGTGTGTGTGTGTGGGTTTTTTGAAGCTTAAAAATATTTATTTATGCTTGGCACCCATAGCTCAATGGTTAGGGTGCCAGCCACATGCACCAGGGCTGGTGGGTTGGAACCTGGCCCCAGGCCTGTTAAACAATGACAACAACAACCAAACAAAAAATATAGCCGGGCGTTGTGGTGGGCGCCTGTAGTCCCAGCTACTTGGGAGGCTGAGGCAAGAGAATCACTTACGCCCAAGAGTTTGAGGTTGCATGTGACACCATGGTACTCTACTGAGGGCGACATAATGAGACTCTTGTCTCCAAAAAAAATTACAAATTGTATATAAAATCAGCACATGCCCCATAAATGCAGTAATGTTGTACATAGTTATGGTCTAATAAAAAAATCATATATATGTATATATTTTCTTTATCAGTGCCTATCCTGATATCTTTATTTTCTTATTTTGGATTAATACAAGGGTACATATGATTAGGTTACATTGTTGCTAAGGACACAATAAACAAGGCAAACAGACAGCCTTCAGAATGGGAGAAGATATTCACATGTTATGAATCTGACAAAAGGCTAATCTGCAGAGAACTCAAGCAAATCAACAAGAAAAGAGCAAACAATTTACCACGGCTAATTTACAATCGCCAAGATGTGGAAACAACCCAAGTGCCCATCAGCCAAGGAATGGCTTAACAAACTGTGGTATAAATACACCATGGAATACTATTCAGCCATAAAAAGTTGGAGACTTTACATTTTTGTATTAACTTGGATGGAGTTGAAACACATACTTCTTAGCAGAGTAGCATAGAATGGAAAATCAAGTATCCAGTGCACTCAATACCAATAGGAAGCCAGTGGATGATCTTATATACACCCACATCAGAGAAAAACTCAGTTCAATTCAAGTTGGGGGAAAGGGGGAGGGGAGAAAGGAGAGGAGGGAGGGGATTGGTGTGCTCACCTAGTGGGCACGGTGTAAGGGTGTGTGGCACGCCTCCTGGGACACAACTACAACAGGACTTCACCTAACAAATGCAAACATAACCTAGTTGTTTATACCCTCATATTAATCTGGAAAAAAAGGGTGGTGCCTGTGGCTCAAAGGAGTAGGGCACCGGCCCCATATGCCAGAGGTGGCGGGTTCAAACCCAGCCCCGGCCAAAAACTGCTTTAAAAAAAAACCATGAAACATGCTAAGAGAAAGAGCAAACAACCCAATTAATCACTGGGCAAGAGAAATGACCAGAGCCTGTCTTCTTAATATTAATAATGCCATGTCACCTACTGGCCTCTCCCAATGCTTTGGTCAAATGCTAAGAGAATCAACAGCCAGTAAGGCATTTGAAAGGAGGGCAGTGGAGGACAGACTGGGAGGGAAGAGTTTTAATATGGAGAAATTTTCATCAACTTTTCTTTTTTTAAAATTATTTTATTAAGTCATAACTGTGTACATCAATGCATTTACGGGGTACAATGTGATAATTGGATATTCAGTGTGGAAAGCTTACATCGAACTTGTCTCAACTTTTCTGTAGGAATTTCCTGGAGTCCATTTTCTCCTGTGAGATGCATGACTTACTTTTTTATCTGAAGATGGATTTTTCCTCAGCTGATGCTGTTCATGTTCTTTCCAGGCATTCAGTGCTTTTGCCTAAAAATGTTTAGCCTGATAATCAAAAGGGCCTCAACCTCTTTGATTAACAGGATGTAGAGTGCTGTGAGA